CACCGCTGCTCGTAGCAAAATACAAAGCCTCAGAAAGCTACTGCAACATAATTCCATATGTATACACAGCTGCAGATTGTTATTTCATCAACGTTGACACTATGTGCAATCTATGCCCTCTTTTCCCAACCAAATTGTTAAACTGTCCCTTCGCGGTGCCCTGCTAGGTGACTTCTTTAATGGCTCTCAGAAGTTGGTTAATGAGGTTGCCTTGGTTATCTCTCATATATCAAAGTTTCAGAGCACATTTCACGTCTGGAAAGGCGGGATGAAGCAAAGTTAAAATGCAACGTTATAGATTTAAAAGGAATGCAATCTGTAACGTCCATCCAAGAAAATAATTAGATAAGTTACATTTACAAATACTTTTGAGTATAAAATTTTCCGGTAGACGGAACTATTAGGATCTTGAATAAGACATATGATTTACTGCGGAATGGCACGAATATACGAGTCCACAATAATGTCAATGACAATGACAAAGAGTTTATTGATTCAAGGCCTCTAGCCCAAAACAACATAAAAATAGCAATACAATTTCATACAATGGAATATAGTACATTATATCATTATGTTAAACAAAATCTTTTTACTATCTAGTGGTGTTTATCATATTTATTCATGTTCTAACACATAATAATCTTTTTCTTTCTTCAAAGGCATGGAACACAAACTTTGCCAAATTTTCTATAATATTTTCAGCCTGACAACTCATTAAGATATTAAATTTATGAATATTAGGGTTAACAAAATATTTGCTTGGTAAGTATTTTGATCTTAAATTTTCATAAGCCGTACATACCATTACAAAATGATATTCTGTTTCTACTGAAACTTTACATAAATTACATATACGCTCAGATCTCTCTTATTGTCTATATCTGCCTCTTTCAATATTTAAATCATGTGATGAAGTACGTAATTTTGCAAGTGCATTTCTAAATTTACGAATTAAAACAACAGATAAATATGTCTCATGGATAAATTCAGATTTATACAAACAATATGAATCTAACTTTTTACTTTGATTTATTTTTTCTTGCCAGTTCTGCCTATATTGATCTCTCATTCTATCTGTAAATATTTTTAGGAACAATTTCTTATCATCAACTCCCTGGTTATTCCAAACATATCCAAAACCATTTGTATATAGTAGTTGTTTAATGTTAGTAGCCCAATTTTTCATTCCATTCCTATCATATATAAGTAACATAAGAAGAAGAAGAAATAGTTTATTTCGGTAACTTATACATTTACAGTATCTCGTTACATACAATAATTACAAATATAATAATTCTGTGGTCACATGACAAAAGCAAAGAAAAATAATAATAAGAAGAATATAAAAAGTTTTAACTGATGACATTCTAACGGAGAACAGACAGCTGCAAATAAAGGAACAAAAAAACATCACAATTTCATTATCATTCATAGAAATAAAAAAAGTTCCAGTAAGAAGAAAAACACCAACAACAGAAAAGACGTGACAATAACAGTGTCAAAAGTATAATATTACATGTATCTTTCTAACGATAATAAGGATAATAAGTTGAACCAATTAACATTTCAAAATGTGTTATGAATTAACAACGGATAGTAACAATTCTTGTCGCTTTTTATTAGCTACATCTATATATTTTCCTAAATTTACAAGTATAGCTTTATTATCTGATTGTAGTAAATCTACTAATTTATACATAGAAGGTCTAATATAGTAATAACGCTTGATAAATCTTCTTCGAATATCTTGATAACATGGACAAACTAAAATAAAATGATACTCATCTTCAATTTCTGGTAAGTTACATAATTGGCATAATCTTTCATTTCTTTGTGTTCTATTACGTCCGTATCTACCGGTTTCAATCCTTAAGTTATGAGCAGATATTCTAATTCTACAAATATTCATACGTATACCTTTACAATAAATATTTCTTAAATAAGGTTCAAAACAAAAGTCTTTTTTGATATAACTATACAAAGTGTTTAGTACAATATTGTTTTCTATGTCTGAATGCCATTTTTGCCTAAAACAATCAATAACTCTTTGCTTAAATTCAGATAAAAAGAAACTACTTTTGATATTTATTGGGTTGTCCCACACATAAGAAAAGCCAAATTCATTTAATAAGGATTTTACATTTTGAACCCAATTATTTACACCAGTCAAACTATTGCTTACTGTATATCTATAAATTTCTTTCAGTATAATATTTATCCGTATTTACAAGCTTAAGCCAAAATTTAATGATTTGTACGTATCTGTTGATATGTAAGGGGTATCTACCTAATTCGCCTTACACTGCATTATTACTAGCACATTGTTTTACTCCTAATATTGATTTGCAAAACTTAAGGTGTACCCTTTCTATATCTTAAGATTTAGTAAAACCCCAAATCGGGCATGCATAATTAAGTATTGAGCCAACAAAGGCATTTAATAATTGTAGTGAAACATGAGGATTTTAATGATATTTGTTTATCTTATTCAATAAAATGCTCATAGCTTTTAAACCTTTCCCTACTAAGCACTGTGTATTTAAAACAAAAGAGCCTTTATAATTAAAAACAACCCCTAGATAATTAAAATCGTTTACAACTTCAATATGTTTCCCATTATAATACCATTTTTCACTTAATTTGACCTGTCCCCTTTACGGAAAACAACAATTTTGGTTTTTTGTCCGTATTGACCTCAAGTCCCCATTTATTGCAATAATCATACAAGGTATTTAGCGATTTTTGTAAGTCTTCTTGTGATCTGCCAACTATCACCATATCATCGGCAAATAATAAAACAATAATACATAATTCATAAATATTGAGACCACAATCCATTCGGTTTTGTAAAAATAATTCAAGATCCTCTAAAAATAATGCGAAAAGTGCCGGAGAATTATTTTGTCCCTGCTTTAAGCCTTTCGATATATTGACGTCAGAAAATGTATTATAATGTTTTACACAAGATTTTACAACTGAATACATAGCTTTAAATACCATCCAAACCCATCTTAAATAGTTTATGCCATAGCGCGTTTCTATACACAGAGTCAAACACTTTTTTAAGATCGACAAAAGCGCACGGAAATCTTTAATTTTCAGATAACATTATGTTGTACTAAATTATGTAAAACAAAAATTGCATCCAAAGTGCTGAGCCCTTTTCTAAAACCGAACTGGGCGTCTGATAACATATTATTATCATCAAACCATTTTTCTACCCTTGAAGTTAAAATACTAGTAAATAATTTACAAAAATTACTGATTAATGTTATACCCCTGTAATTACTTACATTTCTATTATTCCCCTTTTTATGCAAAGGTACAATAAAACCTTGCGTCCACAAATTTGGAAAATAACCTGCGTTAAAAACAATATTAAATAAATCTGTAATATGCCCTATCAAGATATCAATAGTTTCAATAAAATATTCATTAAGTAAATTGTCACTTGGCGATGCAGATTTGTTACGATTTAAATTGCGAACAGCAGCACGAACTTCATCACAGGTAATCGGCATGTTCAATTCACCAAAAGTAGGGTTATTTGTATTAGTATTTCCGTCATCAATAAATGTTTCAACCTCGGGAATGATTGTTGTTTTTATTTCATTAAACATTTCAAAAAAATACTTTTCAAATTCTTTAGCAGATATATCGTCCCCCGTACGTCTATTTTGTTGTTTAAAATATTGCCAAAATTCTCTTGGTTTACGGGTTTTTAAATTAGTTAATTCTTGCGACTTCTTTAAATTAAATGCTCTTTTCTTTTTTCTCAAAATCATTTTATACGTCTTTTTAGAATCACATAAAGATAATCTGTTTAAACATGACTTATCATTGTTAAAAATATACAACTTTTCTTTATATATGCGTTTCGCATCAGCGCATTCAGTATCGAACCAAGAGTTATCATACCTTTTTGCACTCTTACAATAAACATTTTTCTTAAAAAACAAATCAGCTGATTCACAAATCAAGTGAGAAAAATTTGATACTAAATCATTTACAGTACTTATTTCTTGAACATTATTTACATTCATGATACTATTAAATTCATTCATTTTTCCCAACAATGACCTTCTAAACAACATTTTATGATCGTCATTCCATTTATAATAAACGTAATGATTTTTATTGTAAACATCATAATCCGGTGGTTTATCGCCACATATCTTAAAACTCAATGATGCATGGTCACTAAACAAGTCAAACTGGTTAACAGTGAACGATTGAACGATATGAAAATCAATTTCTTTTAACAGTAAGTAATCTATTGTACTGCATGATTGCCGACTATAATATGTATATTCACCGGTTACGCAATCATGTCCCAATCGTCCGTTGGCTAAACGTAAAGAGGTGGCTTTACAAAATTCTAACAGTTTTACGCCACGTGCATTGCATACAAGGTCACTTGAGGTTCTGCATAAGGTTTCATCTGGGAAGTAGTCAATATCATCAATACTTGAAATATTTTTGTCACATCTAATAAAATCTGGCTTGTTACCCACACGACAGTTCCAATCCCCTGCCACAAGGACGCTACCTATCTGTTCATAATTAAAAACATCTTGCTCTAATAGGTTAAATAAATCAACATTGTTTACACTTGCAGCCGGAGAATCATCTCCCCATATATATACACCTGCCAAAAATACATCTTTTGTAAAATTGAAAACATTTCTATGAAGCTTAAGCCATATTATTGTATCAAAATGGTTTTTAATGATTGAAACACCTGATTTTATATTGTTTTTTATATATATCACAATACCCCCACTGTTACGCTTAGCCCTTTTATGCTTGAATTTTCTATAGAAATTATAACATGTAAAGTTGTCAATATCAATGTTAGACTCACTATCCGTCCAAGCTTCCGATAATATAACAATATCATTTTTACTAATTTTATCAATAAAATCTGGATCATTAAGTTTTCTTTCTGTTAAACCATTACAATTCCACACTAATATTTTGGGCCCATTCTCCGATGTTTCCTATTCCAAGTTGATTGGTTTTCCATCGATAAATAATGTGTCATAAGAGATCCATGCGTTATGGTTTTTTGCTCTCGCCTCACGAAGTTTAGGAATTAATCTCTTACGTTTTGCCACGACCTCAGGCGGGAACTGTTCATGCATAAAGAATTGTTTACCATCAAGTTTGAAGTGCTGCTTCCTTACAGTTTCTCTATCTTTGAAATACGCAAATTTGCATACAATTTTTCTGTTGATTAATTTTGATGGATCAGTTGATTGGTACCCCATTCTGTGGGCTCTTTCTATCTTCAAGGCATCTACTGTATCTTGTGCGAGTCCCAGCTTATTAACCAAATGCTCCCTTAGTTTGTTTTCAGTTTCTGTTGCTTTTTCATTCAGCGACTCGGATATTCCACCAAAAATGAGATTATTTCTCATAGACTGGGATCGTAGATAAGACAGGTCTTCTTTTATTTGGTCATTTTCTTTTTCCAATGATTCAAGTTTTGACAACTTCTCTGCGTTAGAAATTTCAACATGGCTTATGCGATCGTCAAACTTTAATAGCTTATCATCTGTCTCCTTTTTTGTATCATGTACATTTAACCATAATGATTTTAAATCTCTTTCAAATTTGTCAACTTTTGATTCTAAAACATCTAAAGTTTTCAGCTTAATGTCAATATTTTCCAATTTTGATTCAATTTTTATCAGATGTTTCATAATTTCAGAATTTGAAGGGATACACATATTATAACATTGTTTCACATATCGATCATTTGGTAAACTTAATATCTTTAACCAATATACTAAAACTCTTGATGCAGTAGTTATGTACAATGGAAAACGGCCACAATCTCCTAAACCTGATGCATTTGCAGTTGATTGTTTAACACACATGTATCTTTTACATGCATAATTATGTACGGTTTCTATACTTTTATGTTCAATCGACCCCCATAATTCAGATCCATAGCATAATATTGGAACTATTTTAGTATCAAATATATTAAAATATACATGTTTTTTAAGCTGACCATATTTGTAAAGATTTGATAAAATAGAAATAAGAACTCTTTTTCCTTTAATGGCTTGTTCATCAGCCATTTTAAATATTGACATCTGTCTTGACATTGTTACACCAACATATGAAAATTTAGAAACAGTTTCCAATAGTTTACCATCATAATACCATTTCTCTTTATTAGAAAGTCTACCTCCCTTTTTAAATACTAATATCTTGGTTTTTTCAATATTCACCTCTAAGCCACTTTCATAACAAAAAAGTTTAAGTTTATTAAGCAATCTTTGTAAACCTACAACTGTTTCGTTTATAAGGGCTAAATCATTCTGTATTTTCCGGAAATAACTGAACTCCTTTTATTTCACTATTTTTCAAATTTATGATGAGTTCATTTATATAGATAATAAAAAGTGTTGGAGAAATCAAACAGCCTTGCTTAAGTCCATTGTCACAATTAAAATAGTTTGTCATACCTTCTGAAGTTCTAACACAAGATTTAACTGAATGATAAATAGATTTTATTGCCCTATATAATTTTCCTTCAATTCCATTTTTACACAGAACTTTCCAAAGCTTATCTCTATTAACCATATCAAAGGCTTTCTTAAAATCAATCATGCCTACATACAATTTACCACGATTTTTTTGTAACTGTTTACTTACAATAGATTGCAAAATAAAAGCATTGTCAACAGTAGAATACCCTTCCCTAAAACCTGCCTGTTCCTCATTGATAATTCCATAAACATTTACAAAAAAGTTAAGTCTTCTAGAGAGTATTCCAGTGTATATTTTTCCCAAAATGTTTGATAAAGATATTCCTCTATAATTATTTGGATTATTTCTATCACCTTTCTTATAAATTGTAACAATTACGGACTTTGTCCATGATTCTGGAAAAATACCTTAATTATAAATTTTGTTAAAATAGTTATACAAAATAGGTAATAATTTGTCAATTGAGAAAATAAAAAATTCAGGAATAGTACCATCTTCCCCACTACTAGACCCTTTTTTCAATGATTTAACAGTTTTCAAGATTTCTTCATATGAGATTTCTTCATTAAATATATCTTCCTTAATTTCATCAAGACTTTCAGAATTTAAACCTTCAACTACTTCTGTTATATCAATACATTCAATATCATTATTATTTGACTTAAACAATTCCTCAAAATGTTGTACCCAATTATCATTAGAAATAGAATTTGTAATTTGTTGTTTTTTCCCTGCCATTTTCTTAAATTTTTTTCCAAAATGATTTAGAGTCTTTAACATTTTCAGTAAGTTCATCTAATTGTTTATTATAAAAATTTGTTTTACTTTTTTCACACTGACTTTTGAAAAAAATTCTAGTCTGTTTATATACACTTAAATTACTGTCATTTGGATTTCTTCTATACTCCCGTAAGCGCTTATTTTTCTCAAATTTTGCGGTTTTACAGCTTTGATCAAACCACTCTGGTTGATAATCACTGGATATTTTATTTACTTGTTTGCAACATTCACCACATTTTAGAAGAATCTCAACAATTTCAGAGTTTATTTGATTTTCGTCTACATTAGTACATCTACATTCTCTAATTAAATTTTCAACAACATTGTCATTGAGTAATAACTCAATATTTTCCAAAAATTGTATTTTACGTTGTTCTGAAAATCTACATGTATATCTAACAATTTGTTCATTACTCAGTCTTACCATCGTATCATTTCTACATAGATTTTTTATTTTTATAGAAAATACAATAGGCATATGACTTGATTCACTCCTTGTACCTATCTCAAATGCACTAATATCATCTATAGTGTCATGGCTCACAACTAAATAATCAATAACACTATTACCATTTTGCCCTATATAAGTAAAAGCCCCCTGGTTACAATCATTAAACAATCTTCCATTTGCAATAATAAAATTGTAACATTTACAAAAATTTTAAAAATCTTTGCCAAATTTATTTACACCTGTATCATTACTAACCCTCTTTTGTATATATTCGTCATCTAATATATCCCTATATTCATCATAAACAGGAGCATTATCTATGCAACCAAGATTATCAATTTCCCTCCCAATACGACTGTTTAAATCTCCTACAACAAATACATCTACATTATATTTTTCTTGTATTTCTAATAAAAATACAAGTACCACAAACCAGCTTTACACTTCATGACCAATTTGAAATTTCTAGGTTTATTGCAAAACATTTTCATTTTCCTCATATGGAAAGAAAATACAAATAATGGACTGGACAACTGTTTGATTTCATATTAGGAAGGGCAGTTTACCGTTATTGAATATCATTGAACCAGGCTAAAATTAAATCCTGCGTTGTGGGCACTACTTTGCATTGGAAAAAACGCATCGGTGTAAGAGCTTTTGCATCGCTTTGTCATAAACAACATAATGTTTCTATCTATCCATCAATTTACATTTTTGTTTTAAAGATTGACTCCGATTCACTTTATCAATAAACAAATTGTGTATACCAATGGATAAAAGAAAAAAATAAACATATTATATGCCATTGAAAGTATTAGAATAATAATAATAAAGCAAACTACTTTGCACATTTCTCTGCAATACATTAGTAAAATTGACTTTTGACCTCCAACACACTTAGAAACTACGAGAGATTTCACGAACCACTTAGAAAGATCAACATGTAAACTTTTGAGTTCTTTTATCTAAAAACTTACTATGTATAATTCTTTAAGAAATCATTTTTTAAAATAAATACTGGAAATAATCACATAGTTTATTTTTCAACCGTTTGCGCCGGTAGTCCATCTCAATATGGCGGCTGGGTACTAAACTTTCATAAATGTCTGACAGTTTATGTTTATGCTCAAATTTAGGGCTTTATAGTTAATACTTTGCTTATTAAAATTTTATATACTGATTGACCGGGTACTTAATTAACGTCCAAGGCATTATGGTAAACTAATACGAGCGTGTCAGCACTGTTTTAATATAAATAAGACTCTTGGTGTCAGATTCTTGGCACAGTTATTAGTTAACTTTTCCTACGGCAATGCTCGTCCAGCCACATAAAACGTAGACATTTTCGTGTTGTACATATCACTTAAAAGTTTAATAGATGTACAATATCGTGTAGGAAGTTTTTTGTTTGGCACATCTCAAGCCATGCAGGGCACAGCTGTCGTGTTACACCATTCCTTTGCAGCCATTTTACGTTTGCGTAACCTCGTCTGTACAGCTGATGTTCTTACAAATACATGTTTTGTTGAAATACACACTATAAAACAAATCTACCAAATTTACTATAACAATGTATTTTCTTAGGTAAGATCGAAGTGCAGATGATATATCGGAGTTGGCGTTCACACCATCTGTGATTTACCGTATCCTTTTAACATTTATAAACGTCTTACATTTATACTTATTCAAATGTTTTGTTGTTGTTGTTGTTGTTGTTGTTTTAAACTTCTTTGTGTGTATTGATGCATTTGCAAAATTGTTTGAGCGTGACCGTGTTCTAAATATGTATATCTTAGTGAAAAGTCGTCATATCACCGTGTATAAATGGCGCGATGACAGATTAATCTAATACAATATTATACTCAGCAGCCAACGAAAACTAAGTAAATAATAAATTGCATCGCATTTATGTTGATGTGAAATATGATAATATTCTAAAAAAAAAACAACATTTAAGACACATCCTATTACGGAAAGCAGGACACAGTCTGCCGATAGTGATTTAAACAATTCCACAGGTAAATCGTATTGTTATTATAATTACAGTTTTCTTGAAAAATATCATTCGCTTTCAAGTTTATAGTAATTGTTAAATGCTTGTTTTCCGTTCAGGTATTTCCGGGTACATTAAATGTACATGAGAATTTCATGAAATTATAAAATACTTTTAACCGAGATTACTATGGATATACATTTTCTTACAAAATGCTACATCTAATAATTCAACAGTAACGGCGTATATATCCTATGTATTTATGATTATTTTGACACAATTTTACACTGTGTAAGGAATTATTTCTTACCAAATAGCGAGACTGTCTTCTTTCATTACTGTACTCTTCCTTGTAAAATGATTAAATGCTAAGGAAAAAAAGACAAAAAGCGACATATACTAAATAATTGAAAATTTATTTTATCTTAATGTTTCAAAACAGAATAAATGGAATACACAGTTTATTATGACCACAACCATTATTAAAACATGGGGAGTCATTTTGTGACTAAATTTCAAGAATAAAACACATAAACGTTAATGTTTCATGCTGTTAACTATGACACTAACATGCATGTAGATGGTTTCAGTTATCAAATGAATATTTCAATAGAAGTTTTATCTGTATTGAAGTACCGTTTTATCTTATGTATATTTTATGATTGCCATAAAAATATAATAGGACATATTTTTACCGCTAGTATATTGCTAGTCTTTTTTTTATTTGGTTTATACATTTTAAGTTCGATTGTGTAGGAAGTTTATAGCTTTTAAACACACTCGAAACCATTCCTAGAACCAACAAGTGCTGAGCAATGAGTGTAAAGTTTCTTGCTTAACCTTTTCCCTCATATAGACGTGTTTTGGCGGCTTTTTGTTCCCCCTTTTGAGGCCTCAAACAGTGAATAGATGCCCTATTTAGGCCCAAACACAGTTTTTTGTTTGAGAAATGTTGTTTCACTTTTTCGGCGCGACCTCCCATCCAAGAAAATTTTGGACATGTG